ATTTTATACCAAGACGTAAGAAAAAACAACTTTTCACAAATAAAACAAATACTAACCTATAAGTCTCTTGTAAGAACATAACCAAAGAAATAGAAAAAGAATATATCATGACAAAAATGGTTTTGATGTGTTTAGGAAAGATACGGAAAACAAGAAAAAAAAATAACTTGCTGTAAAGATATGCAGAACTCCCATGTTTCTTCCCTGCTGCTGCACCCAACGTACCCAGTGTTCCCCGTTGCTGCACCCTACATACCCCGTTACACACAGTGTACCCAGTGTTCCCCAATACACACAGTGTACCCCGTTACACGCAGTGTACCCCATGTTCCCCGTTACACACAGTGTACCCCATGTTCCCCGTTACACACAGTGTACCCCATGTTACCCGTTACACACAGTGTACCCCATGTTACACACAGTGTACCCCATCTTCTCCGGTTACACAGTGTACCCCATGTTTCCTGGTTACCCCATGTTTCCTGGTTACCCCATGTTTCCTGGATACCCATGGTTACCCCATGTTTCCTGGTTACCCCTGGTTACCCCGTGTTCCCTGGTTACCCCATGTTTCCTGGTTACCCCTGGTTACCCCGTGTTTCCTGGTTACCCCTGGTTACCCCGTGTTTCCTGGTTAACCCTGGTTACCCCATGTTTCCTGGTTACCCCTTGTTTCCTGGTTACCCCGTGTTTCCTGGTTACCCCTGGTTACCCCGTGTTTCCTGGTTAACCCTGGTTACCCCATGTTTCCTGGTTACCCCTTGTTTCCTGGTTACCCCTGGTTACCCCGTGTTTCCTGGTTACCCCTGGTTACCCCGTGTTCCCTGGTTACCCCTGGTTACCCCGTGTTTCCTGGTTACCCCGTGTTCCCTGGTTACCCCTGGTTACCCCTGGTTACCCCATGTTTCCTGGTTATCCCTGGTTACCCTGTGTTTCCTGGTTATCCCTGGTTACCCCGTGTTTCCTGGTTACACCGTGTTTCCTGGTTACCCCTGGTTACCCCGTGTTTCCTGGTTACCCCTGGTTACCCTATGTTTCCTGGGTTACCCCCAGGTTCCTGGTTACCCCTGTTTCCTGGTTACCCCGCTTCCTGTTACCCTTGCTCCCTGGTTACCCCTGGTTACCCCGTGTTTCCTGGTTACCCCTGATTACCCCGTGTTTCCTGGTTACCCCGTGTTTCCTGGTTACCCCTGGTTACCCCGTGTTTCCTGGTTACACCGTGTTTCCTGGTTACCCCTGGTTACCCCTTGTTTCCTGGTTACCCCGTGTTCCCTGGTTACCCCTGGTTACCTCGTGTTCCCTGGTTACCCCTTGTTTCCTGGTTAACCCGTGTTCCCTGGTTACCCCGTGTTTCCTGGTTACCCCGTGTTTCCTGGTTACCCCTGGTTACCCCGTGTTCCCTGGTTACCCCTGGTTACCCCGTGTTCCCTGGTTACCCTGTGTTTCCTGGTTACCCCTGGTTACCCCGTGTTCCCTGGTTAACCCGTGTTTCCTGGTTAACCCGTGTTTCCTGGTTAACCTGTGTTCCCAGGTTACCCCTTGTTTCCTGGTTACCCCTGGTTACCCCTGTTTACCACGTGTTTCCTGGTTACCCCGTGTTTCCTGGTTACCCCTGGTTACCCCGTTTTTCCTGGTTACCCCGTGTTCCCTGGTTACCCCTGGTTACCTGTGTTCCCTAGTTACCCCTTGTTTCCTGGTTAACCCGTGTCAACTGATTAACAGGAGGGGAGAGCACTGCACAAAGCTCCCTTCCCGCTGTTCTCAGCATGTTGTGTGGCCGAGCCATGGCCATGGGTAAAGGAACTTGTTTCCCTCTCCCCTGTCTGACAGGAAGCGCTCACAGAGAACACTGAACTGCTTCCTGTCAGACGGGGGAGAGGGAAATAAGTTCCTCTACCCTGGTCTGTGGCTCGGCCATGATACAAGAGGGAGGAAGGCGAGCTGGCATGGTGGGGGGACAGAAACAGACAAGGGCTTGGTGGAACAGAAACAGACAAGGGATGGGGGAGCAGAAACAGACATGAGCTGAGGGCAGAAACAGACAAGGGTTGGGGGGGCAGGAACAGACAAGGGCTGGGAATACAGACACAGGCAAGGGCTGGGGGGCAGAAACAGAACAGGACTATGGAGGGCAGAAACAGACACCTAGAGGGTGTAAGGGGACAAAAGCAGATACAAATGGGCTGAGGCGACACAGGCAGTCATAAAGGAATTGAGGAGACACGAGCAGACACAAAGTGGCTGAAGGAACACAAGCAGACAAAAAGGGGCTGAGGTGAAACAAGCACATACAAAGTGGCTGGGGACACAAAGAAAGGGTCTAGAGAAGGGACAAAAGAAATAGATAGGGGCTTGGGGAGTGTCAGGATACTAGTTGATCCAGCACGCAGAACTGTATTACACCTAAGACTAAAGGTAATGTCTTACCGGGCCTTTGAATGGCCGGACTTAACGTACCAGAGAATACTCAGTATACTTGCCGAGGTCAGGGACACAGAAGGAGACACAACAATGAGGGAAAGCCAAAAGTCAAGGATACCAGAATACATGGAAGTCAAAACTAAGACAAAGTCAAAAACCAGAAATAAACGCTCAAGAACACTCTCTCGGATAACCTACTAAGGGAAACCAGACAAGGCAATGAGGAGTAGTTAAAATGTGTTTAAATAAGCCTCTTACAGATCTGATTGGCCTAAATTGGCCTTTGATCCCAGATCAACTCAAGCTGACGCCTTCATTACCATGAGTGGATGTGGGGTTATAAAATGGTGTGGATCCGCAGCGGCCGGCGTCCACCAACATGTTGCAGGAGTCAGATATACTGACGCATAGCCACTGAGCGGCACTTCCGTTATTGTCAGGAAGGCAATTACTGCAGCTACCACAAGGTGAGGATGAATATGTTACAGGGAAACACTCAGAGGGGCTAGGGGGAGACAAAGAGACACACATGGACTGGGAGAACGAGACACATAGAGGCTGCAGGAGAAAGTTGCACAAATAGGGACTGGGCGGAGTCACATAAAGGGGAGGTGTAAGAAACAGAAAAAGAAACACTCACTCCACTATACGCACATACACTCTGCATCAACTATACACACACTGCATCCACTATTTACACATATAATCAGGATCCACTATACCTACACACACTGCATCCACTATACACATACTGCATCCACTATATGCACACACACACTGCATCCACTATACATACACTCTGAATTCACTATATACGCACACACAATGTGCATCCACTACACACACACAAACTGTGCATTCCCTACACACACTGCATACAATACACACAGCCATTGAAGACAGTGCACACACTGAATTCACTACACAAATACACACTCTGCCTCCACTATACATGCACACAATGCATGCATTACACAAACTTCAACCAATATAAATACTGCATTCACTACATACATTGTATAACAGTGGGTGTGGATTTGTTGGGAGTGGGCAGCATTTTATCCTTGGACCAAGACAGCACAATCCCTTGGGGGCCCTGATCACAGGTTATGTTTTATTATCCACACCATTGCTTGTTTGTTTGGTTTTTTTTTTTGCTTGTTTGTTTCTTAAATATAAGGTAAATGCCACACTCTCTAAAATTTGAAGAACACACTATTGTTTATATACCAGTACATTGATGTATTGTGTTTAATATATTGACAATTAATAAAAATATTTATATGCTTGAAATTCCATCTAAAAAAAAATGTCATTATTAGTTTAAGATATTTATCTTCCTTGTGTTATTATGCTTGAACAAATAGGTACCGTATATACTCGAGTATAAGCCGACCCGAATATAAGCCGAGGCCCCTAATTTTACCCCAAAAAACTGGGAAAACGTATTGACTCGAGTATAAGACTAGGGTGGGAAATGCAGCAGCTACTGGTAAATTTCTAAATAAAATTAGATCCTAAAAAAATTATATTAATTGAATATTTATTTACAGTGTGTGTATATGATGAATGCAGTGTGTGTGTATGAGTGCACAGTGTGTGTATGAGTGCACAGTGTGTGTATGAGTGCACAGTGTGTGTATGAGTGCGCAGTGTGTGTGTGTATGAGTGCAGTGTGTGAGTATGAGAGTGCAGTGTGTGTGTATGAGAATGCAGTGTGTGTGTATGAATGCAGTGTGTGTATGAATGCAGTGTGTGTGTGAATGCAGTGTGTGTGTGAATGCTGTGTGTGTATATGAGTGCAGTGTGTGTGTGTGAATGCAGTGTGTGTGTGAATGCTGTGTGTGTATATGAGTGCAGTGTGTGTGTGAATGCAGTGTGTGTGTGAATGCTGTGTGTGTATATGAGTGCAGTGTGTGTGTGATGCAGTGTGTGTTTGTGTTGCAGAGCCTTGGTGGGGGGGTGGGCATTTTTATAAAAAAAAATTTTTTATATTATTTTAATTTGTTTTGTTATATTATTATTATTTTTATTATTTTTTTATTATTATTTATATTATTTTTTATATTATTTTTATTATTATTAATATATTATTATATTTATTTATTTTGTTGTCCCCCCTCCCTGCTTGATACATGGCAGGGAGGGGGGCTCTCCTTCCCTGGTGGTCCAGTGGCATTGGCAGTTCAGTGGGGGGAGGAGGGGGGCTGGCAGGAGCACTTACCTCTCCTGCAGCTCCTGTCAGCTCTCTCCTCCTCCGCGCCGGTCCGTGCAGCTCTTCTCTCAGCTCACACTGTAAGTCTCGCGAGAGCCGCACTATGACCCCGCGGCTCTCGCGAGACTTACACTGGGAGCTGACCGAGGTGCTGCACGGACCAGCGCGGAGGAGGAGAGAGCTGACAGGAGCTGCAGGAGAGGTAAGTAACAGCTCTGCCAGCCCCCAGTCTGTATTATGGCAATGTAAATGTAATGTTAATGTAAATTGCCATAATACAGACAGTGACTCGAGTATAAGCCGAGATGGGGTTTTTCAGCACAAAAAATGTGCCGAAAAACTCGGCTTATACTCGAGTATATACGGTATATCCATAGCAGATTTAATGCCCTTTTTATTTATAGAAATTATGCACATACAGGTTTTTTTAATACAAAATTCACATTTGAAAGTCTTTCAGTTTTCAGATAACCTTCAGGCCCTTATACTTTCTCAGTCACAAGGTTTTTAATCTCAGCCAATTCCTTTACCCCCATATAAGCAGAGAGTTTACAGGAAGCAGAGACAAGCACATTCATGCTCAGTGAAACTGCATTCATTTAAATAGAATTGATGAGGACCTTGCCTTTATTATGCATTCATGTACTTTTTACTTACTTTCAGCAATATAAAAACATTATACAAGAATTTACAGGATACAGTTGCATATTGCTATTGTGTTTCATCACTTTTAACTGGAAATATGATAGAATAGTGTTACTAATATGTTTTTGCTTTTTTTGTAAAAGCATGCATCTGGTATCTTGCAAAAATCATGATTTACAAGAAACTTGCACCCACACTGTCCATTTAAAGTAATATTTTTTGCAAATAATTGAATTAGAAAATGCCTACTAAAGGTCAATAATTATTGCCTTGCATTTTCAGAAAATCATACTTCAATGCCTTCATAATTGCGAATGATTAAATAATGATACCAAGATATGATCAATATTAATAATAATGAGGTTTACACTGGAGTTCAATTAAATTTAATTAATTAACAGCAACGTTAACATTAAAAATGGTAAAATCATGAACAGGTAACCCCAGCGTCTTCATTATGATTGCAGTTTGTGACTCCCCATCCTTTAAATTTACATCCATGGATTGAACTCTCAAACCCAGTGCACTGGACATCATCCATCCATATTCGACTTGTTCCTGTAAGAGAATACACATAAATTAGAAGTTGCCAAAAACATGATTAACCAAGTTATTTTTTAAACTGTTATGTTATTGCTCTTCTACTTAAAGGAAAACTATAACAAACTGTATTCCTAATGTGATAGCATCTGTGTGCATAATTACTTTTAGTTCCCCCTTCCCCATTTGGAGTAAAAACCTAAAAAAATAAAACTTTTTTTACTTATCTTTTGTGACGCCTGCTGCTCCTCCAGTGATTTCATCTAGCACTCATACAATGCTCCTCATAGAGCATCACATGTGCATCCAAATGTTTCTCACAGGAAACCATTGAATTCAATGCTTTTCTATGAGCTGCAATGTCACGAGTTGGGTTTTACCCTGTCCTTGTATGGGATGATAGCCACTTGAAATATGTTTAACTCTGCAATGTAAATATTGCAGTTTATACACATATTTCACATTGCAGGGTTAAAACTACAGGGCGACTGCACCCAGATCACTTAATTAAAGGAAAACTATAGGGTTAGGAACACAAACATATATTCCTGGCCCTATAGTGTTAAAACCACCATCTAGCCCCCTCCACTCAGCCCCCATTAGTCAGTCCCCCTAAATATGGCAAAATCTTGGCTCTGCATCTGATCTGCCTGCTTGGCTTCACATAGAAGCACTGGATTGGCTAAGGATGTCAAAAAGGCAGATCAGTGGCAGAGCCAGCACACGTCCCAAACACAGCCCTGGTCAATCAGCAGCCCCTCATAGCGATGCATTGAATCAATGCATCTCTATGAGGAAAGTTCAGTGTCTCCATGCATAAACACCTCCAGTAGCCATCTGAGGAGTGGCCAGTGAAGGTATCCCTAGGCTGTAATGTAAACATTGCATTTTCGCTGACAACACTGTTTTCGCCAGAACAAATGCAATACACTGGTGACTATAGTTTCCCTTTTAGATTAATTGGTCTGGGTGACCTTTGTGGTGCTTTAATTAAGCAATTAAGCAAATACATTCACAAAAAAAAAATCAATGCAAAAAGAAATAAAAAGACAAAAAAAAATCCTGCATTGATTAAATTCTCTAATTTTGGTTTAAGTGATAGAAAGAATAGCTTAAAGGAACACACTATAGGGTCATGAGTACAAATGTGTAACCATGACCCTTCAGTGTTAGAAACACTATTTAGGTCCTCTATCCCCTTAAATAGTGTTAAAACTCATGTTATATCCAGCATCGATCCACCTCCTTGGCTGAGATCATCAGAATTGACAATCACAGACAATCCAATACTTTCCTATAGGAGAGCAGATCCAAATGCTGCCCTGGCCAGTCAACATCTTCTAATATAGATGCATTGAAAACTCAGTGCAGATCCAAGTGACTGCCACTGGAGGTGTCCCTAGGCAGCAAGGTAAACACTGCCTTTTCTCTGAAAATTAAGATGTACTTGTTCTGGTGACTTTATTGTCCCTTTAATGACACTACAGGCTTACTGATTTAAGAAGATCATATTATTATCATTATTTAATTTATCCCAGTGCTGAAAGGACATTTTCCCTAAAAGAACAAAAACTACTTCTATGAAAATTAAACATATTTTTTCTAACTTCACAGATACAATTTCTCTTTCTTCAGACATATATATGTCATCAAGTCTAGAGAAAGTTATTTATATTAACTTTAAAGTGGCCTACTTTTCTCCAATTGTTTCCTCTTCTCTTCCTCTTTTCTTTATTTCTATCTCTCTTTAAAAACATGTCAAAGTAGGGACTACTTTGTCTTATGTATATTTCCTCCGCTTGACAAATCTTGACAAAGGGTGGAGCTTAAGTAAGCTCCATTTCTTTTGTCAAGTAATTACATTAGGGGGATTCTAAAGACTTGTAGAATTTGGAGGGGACCTAAAAAAAAGGGGGTTCTGTGCATTATGGAATTGCTTTAAATATAACCACTTGTTGCCATACGTTACAATAAAATACATACCAAAAATAAAGGTTTACCTCTCCCAAAGCTTTGTCCCATGTGGACTTTAAGAGCACTTGAAAAGCCCAGCATTTTGCACACAACTCTCCCATCTAAAATGTCCCACTGATCATCACACACAGTGCCCCACTCTCCATTGTAAAAAACTTCAACTCTCCCTTGGCGAGAAGTTAATCCTCCAATGAGCCGAACAGTGGGCGCTATAAGCAAGATTAAAAATTATTATAAACATAATAGTTTAAAAACAATATATATTAGCTAATAATTACAGATGATTGTTTCTGTGCCACAAATATTTCTTCTTTATTTCCTTTAGCATTACAAAAAAATACATTTTTGATAAAGACTTTTTTAATACACGAGTGCACTTTAGTAAAATTTGTTATAAATATATTTTATGCAAAATTACACTATCTGTTCTTTTTCTCTATCTTGTTACGTACATTACATAGAAACATAGAAACATAGAATGTGACGGCAGATAAGAACCATTCGGCCCATCTAGTCTGCCCAATTTTCTAAATGGAGAATTTTCTAAATTAGAGGAAGCTGTAAAGATCTTTCTATGTAAATGATCTTAACCAGGCTTGTTAAATGGTTACTATAACCCTTCTGAGAGTGTGGCATTTCCAGAGTAAAATTCTCTATTGGGCACTGCGGAGCGCTGGGCGAAGCTCCTGGCTCTACTCTTTTGCACCCTCTCCTGGGGAGGGAAGGCAAATTGGGAGGAGGCAGGGAGTTTTTTAAAAAAAACAACAACAAATGAGCAATGGAGGGATGCGGGATGAAGCACCCACAGGGAGGGTGGGAGAGCTACAAAACTTTAATGTCAGTTGTCAGCGTGCTGTGCGCACTGCCAAAAGACATAATTTATGTTCAGTATTGACGTTAGGCCATCTGGAACAGGATTCTGGGCTGTCAATGCCACATGTGCTAGCGTTGCAACTACCACAGTACACAATTACAAATATCTCTGGAAGTGCAGTATTTCAAGCTGAAACACTGCGCATACTCATTTCTAACACCATGGTCATAATGTTCGGAGTAACTCTTTAAGGTTGAACTCTCCTAAGAAGCAAATACCTTGTGACTTCTACTTGCTAGATTGGCATCCAGAGCAATGTTGTGTGGACTGCAGCTATTTTAAGAAAAGACAGATTTTTGTTTACTTTTGGTGTTTATTTGCTATCACTGTTTTTATTTAAATGTTTCTTTTGTACTAGTGGTAGGACTTCCCATGTGTTAGAATAAAACTTGTTGCTGTGTATCTGGCACCCCAAGTTGTTGTCTTACAATATTATGATGGCATGGCGAGGCTGAGTTGCAGCTGCCAAGCAGTCACAGCGAATTCCCTACATCAACTATTTGTTAAATGAGATCAAAATAAGCTAAGTTTAGAGGGAATTATAACATGCAGAGGATATGTGTAATGCTTGTACTTATTTGCCAAAGCTAGCACACATCTTGAAAATCATCTTCAATGGGTTTATGATGCAACTTAGGTCAGTGAATAGAAGCTGTTTGTAACAATAAGCTTGCAGTCTGCATCTCTCTGGTATGTCTCATGTGGAATGGCATTGTCTTTTGGGTGAGACAGGTATTAAGTTTTTATCTCACATTGTTGCCTCCTGGGATGCTGGAGTGTTGTTGCAGTGCCTGCTACTAGTGATGTCGCAAACCCGAAATTTTCGGTTCGCAAACGGCGAACGGGAACTTCCGCAAACGTTCGCGAACCGGTGAACCAGGCGAACCGCCATTGACTTCAATGGGCAGGCGAATTTTAAAACCCACAGGGACTATTTCTGGCCACAAAAGTGATGGAAAAGTTGTTTCAAGGGGACTAACACCTGGACTGTGGCATGCCGGAGGGGGATCCATGGCAAAACTCCCATGGAAAATTATACAGTTGATGCAGAGTCTGGTTTTAATACATAAAGGGCAGAAATCACCTAACATTCCTAAATCCCAATGAATATGGATTGACACCTGACATATGACATATTGACACCTTGACATATGGATTGACACCTGTCCTCAGAGCCCCTGATGCACACGGACACAGAGCAGAATAGGGACTGTTCCCCTTACATATGGTCACTTGGCAGGTATGGATTGACACCGGTCCTCAAAGCCCCTGATACACACTGACACAGAGCAGAATAGGGACTGTTCCCCCTACATAGGGTCACTTGGCAGATATGGATTGACACCTATTCTAAGGATCCCTGATACACACTGACACAGAGCAGAATGGGTAATATTCACTAAATGCCAAACATTGTTATTCCGGAGCAATATTCAGTAAATAAGGATAAGGTGGGGGACCTACTGTCCTCCCCCCCGGCCCCCACCCCTGCGCGGTGGGTGGGGGGCATAAATCACAATGGGGGGACCTACTGATAGGAGTGGTGTACTATTCTTATCAGTTTAATAATACCTGTTGCGTCTCCTATCAGTGGACGTGTATATGACAGCGATTTTAGGAACCGCACACCTGGGAGCCGAGCAAGGTCACCTCGTTCAACAGGCTTCAACATTTGTCCCTGGAAAACTATCGTGGACATCATGTACAACTTATATGGATATGGCAGCGATTTTTGTAACAGGGAGATGGAAGAAGATGCTTGGTCGGTCTTCTTACTTCAAATTTGGGGCACTGCGCGGGCAATCTAATGTGCCACCCGATAGGAGTGGTGTGTTTAGTATTATTCTTATCAGTTTAATACCTTTCGCGTCTCCTATCAGTGGACGTGTATATGGCAGCGATTTTAGGAACCGCACACCTGGGACCCGAGCAAGGTCACCTCGTTCAACAGGCTACAACATTTGTCCCAAAAACAGTCAAAGGCTTCCTCCAGATTAGCCATTATTTGACTGTGTAAGTACTTCAGGTCAGCTTAGTGCCTCATCCTGCCTTGAGTAACATGAGCAGGGTCGTCCACCATCTAGGACACTGCCACTCCTCGCCCACCGACAATCTTTAGGGGTGATCTGTGGTTCAGAATATCAATGTGCCATAGCCCAGCCGGGTCAGGGATGACCCCCACTGGTCCGATGGGGGCTAGCGTAAGTCGACGCTATGATCTGTAGCGCAGGGAAAGTGGCCGCCTAACCCCAGTTCAAGTTCTTGTAGGCCGCAAGCTTGCTTAACGTTCATTTAGTCTTTGAATATAATCAAGTAGGAAGTTGGAAATGACTGGCTCTTTGGGATCAGCAGCTTAAACAAAGATATAAGGTGTCTGCATTGATCAATGAATACTGTTCTTTGTATTTGCTTTATCCACCAACTCTAAGTAGACTTACAATGCTTGTGTCTTGCAGCGTATCCTCCAGGAAGAAGAGCCTGAACCCTTACCGGCTGCACGTGTCTTACCTGTACATGGAAAGCTGCTCTGGTTCCTTGATGAGCCAGCTGCCCGTGAGTTAACATGTCCCATGGAGAAGCACTCTGTCCTGTAAAACCTCACCAAAATTTTTTTTAAATAAATAACAGCACTTGGAGTGGGTTGAGAACTAGAGTTTTCCCCCATCTCACACTAGTGGTACCATGGCCAAGGGCAGAACCATAGAGTTGGACAGAACAAGGACCATGGATAATATTAGAGAGACAACCAATCATGGGCAGAACCAGAGACTCTCCAAACAATGTTGCAAGCATGGATTGTTGTAGACATGGTGTGCAGAAATGAAGTCATGTACATTCCAGGACTGATGGTTAACTCAATGGACACTTGATATTAGGGATCCGGTTTAACGACCGATGTACAGGCTCAGTAACCTTGGGGACCTAGAATGTTGGTTGGCATCAGAACTAATGTAGTTGAAGCACCAAATATGATGGACTTCAGGAAACATGGACTGGATTGCCTAGAGAATACCAAAGTCAATAACCGAACCACGGCAAAGTGCCATATCACCATAAATCCATAGGCTGACCCCCGAAATAATACCACAAACCAAGGTATTAAAACCAGTACCCAACTGTTTAGTAAAAAGCGAAGCTTGCCGACATGTGCCATGTTCATATACAGCCCTACCCTTTCATGATTCTGCCTGCAGTCCATTGACAGAGCTGCCCTCTCTACCATATCCTCTCCCTCTTGGATCTAAGACCTAACTGCTCTGACGCAGAGAGACAACGACTCCAAACACCATGGTACAACAGCCAACATTGAGGTATACCAAGCTGAGGTTAAACAATCTACAGGGCATAACGGAACAAACACCATCTACAGGGCATAACGGAACAAACACCCACATTGTACATAGTTAAGTAGTTAGATAAGGGAATAGACCCGGTGACCGCACACAGCGTGCTAACTAAGAAGGAGACAAAGGGAGATGAGGGACTTCCGACGTCTATTTCCCCCGTTCTTCTTCCCCTACCGTAGCCTGTCCCCAGGTTTCCCCCTTCCCATACCCCGGACCAAACCCAGGTTTAGGAGAGAAAGACAACCCTGACATGGTACTAGACCAAAGGCACAAGGGCAGCGGAAAAACTCCCACGAGAATGAATAACCAGTTTGCTCTTGAATGTATAAGATGTGAATAAGATCGATGTACCTTAACCGCTTACCCTCCCTTTTTTCCTTTCTGTATCCCGAACAAGTTCTCTGATAAAATAAAAATTGTCAGATTCAAGTTCTTGTGCCCCACAGTTCAAATTAACATTCAAATGACATTTCATGACAGATCACACAAGTGAATAGCCCTGCCAACGTCGTCTCAGAATTTGTTATCTAAGAAGAAATAGAAATGCAAGAGCAGAATAGAGACTGTTCCCCGTCCTCAGAGACCATGATACACACTGACACAGAGCAGAATAGAGACTGTTCCCCGTCCTCAGAGACCATGATACACACTGACACAGAGCAGAATAGAGACTGTTCCCCGTCCTCAAAGCCCCTGATACACACTGACAAAGAGCAGAATAGAGACTGTTCCCCCTACATAGGGTCACTTGGCAGATATGGATTGACACCTGTCCTCAAAGCCCCTGATACACACTGACAAAGAGCAGAATAGAGACAGTTCCCCATCCTCAAAGCCCCTGATACACACTGACAAAGAGCAGAATTCACGTTGTTTCTATGATGTGCATAACATGTTCTTGTAAATGTTTGTTACATTTTTCCTGGGATTGTAATTTTGGAATCTGAATAAAGATAGTCAAATCCCTGATACACACTGACACAGAGCAGAATATCGACTGTTCCCCCTACATAGGGTCACTATGTGCCTTTTTTTTGGTTTGGTTTTTGAAGCCACAGTGCAGCACCAGAGGGCCTAAAAATTAGGCATGTACACATGCCTGAAAAATTCGGTATTGTTGCAGCCCAGAAAAATTTATGTTTGTTTCGCAGGCAGAAAGTGCCCTAAAACATGGCGGCTTGAACTCTAGTTGGTGGCGGATAAGTCACGCAAGTCAACCGGCATTCAGAGCTAAATACAGCAGCGTGTGGACCATTTTTAGCCCAAGGCAGCTCATCTCATCAGGCCTTTTTTAATCTAATGTATCGCCCAGTGTCAGTCCCTTCGGGATCCATCCCTCATTCATCTTAATAAAGGTGAGGTAATCTAGACTTTTTGACCTAGGCGACTTCTCTTCTCAGTGACAATACCTCCTGCTGCACTGAAGGTCCTTTCTGACAGGACACTTGAAGCGGGGCAGGCCAGAAGTTCTATCGCAAATTGGGATAGCTCAGGCCACAGGTCAAGCCTGCACACCAGTAGTCAAGGGGTTCATCGCTCCTCAGAGTGTCGATATCTGCAGTTAAGGCGAGGTAGTCTGCTACCTGTCGGTCGAGTCGCTCTCTGAGGGTGGATCCCGAAGGGCTGTGGCGATGCGTAGGACTTAAAAAGGTCCACATGTCCTCCATCAACAACACGTCTCTAAAGCGTCCTGTCCTTGCCGGCGTGGTCATGGGAGGAGGAGGATGACTTCCACCTCTCCCCTGTTAGATTCCCGTTGTGCTGTGACATCACCCTTATACGCTGTGTAAAGCATACTTTTCAATTTATTTTGCAAATGCTGCATCCTTTCATACTTGTAATTCGGTAACATTTCCACCACTTTCTGCTTATACCGGGGTCTAGTAGCGTGGACACCCAGTACAGGTCGTTCTCCTTCAGCCTTTTTATACGAGGGTCCCTCAACAGGCACGACAGCATGAAAGACCCCATTTGCACATGGTTGGATGCCGAGCTACTCATTTCCCGTTCCTCTTCCTCACTGATGTCAATGAAGGTATGTTCTTCCCCCCAGCCACGTACAACACCACGGGTACCAGATAGGTGACAACGAGCACCCTGGGATGCCTGTTGTGGTTGGTCTTCCTCCTCCTCCTCAAAGCCACATTCCTCCTCTGACTCCTCTTCCTCACAATCCTCTTCCAGTGTTGCCGCAGGTCCAGCAAGCGATGCTGATAAGGCTGTTTCTGATGGTGATGGTGACCACAACTCTTCCTCTTCCTCTTCACGCTCATCTACGGCCTGATCCAGCACTCTTCGCAGGGCATGCTCCAGGAAGAAAACAAATGGTATGATGTCGATGATGGTGCCTTCGGTGCGACTGACTAAATTTGTCACCTCCTCAAAAGGACGCATGAGCCTACAGGCATTGCGCATGAGCGTCCAGTAACGTGGCAAAAAAATTCCCAGCTCCTCAGAGGCTGTCCTAGCACCCCGGTCATACAAATATTCATTAACGGCTTTTTCTTGTTGGAGCAGGCAGTCGAACATTAGGAGTGTTGAATTCCAACGTGTCGGGCTGTCGCAAATCAAGCGCCTCACTGGCATGTTGTTTCGCCGCTGGATATCGGCAAAGTGAGCCATGGTCGTGTAGGAATGCCTGAAATGGCCACACACCTTCCTGGCCTGCTTCAGGACATCCTGTAAGCCTGTGTACTTATGCACAAAGCGTTGTACGATCAGATTACACACATGTGCCATGCACGGCACATGTGTCAACTTGCCCAACTTCAATGCCGCTAACAAATTTGTTCCGTTGTCACAAACCACTTTGCCGATATCCAGTCGCTGTGGAGTCAGCCACTTTTCCACCTGTGCGTTCAGGGCGGACAGGAGTGCTTGTCCGCTGTAACTCTCTGCTTTCAAGCAAGTCAAACCCAAGACGGCGTGACACTGCCATATCCGGGATGTGAAATAGTACCTGGGGAGCAGGGGGGGTGCCATTGATGTGGAGCAAGACGCAGCAGCAGAAGAAGACTCAGCCGAGGAGGTTATGGAAGAGGATGGAGTAGGAGGAGTAGAGGAGGTGGCAGCAGGACTGCCTGCAAGTCGTGGCGGTGTCACCAACTCCTCTGCAGAGCCATGCATTCCATGCTCGGCAGCAGTCAGCATGTTTACCCAATGCGCAGTGTAGGTATCAGTGGTCAGATGGACCCTTGCCCCAACACTGTGTGCCAGACATGCCATTACTTCCTTTTGCACAATCGAGTACAGGTTGGGGATTGCCTTTTGTGAAAAGAAATTTCGGCCCGGTACCTTCCACTGCGGTGTCCCAATAGCTACAAATTTTTTGAACGCCTCAGACTCCACCAGCTTGTATGGTAAAAGCTGGCGGGCTAATAGTTCGGACAAGCCAGCTGTCAGACGCTGGGCAAGGGGGTGACTTTCTGACATTGTCTTCTTACGCTTAAACATGTCCTTGACAGACACATGACTGTGGGCAGATGAGCGTGAACTGCTCAAGGCGGGAGACGGAGTGGCGGATGGTTGAGAGGGGGCAAGGAGGACAGCAGTGGTTGACGTGGCTGAAGATGCTGGACCAGGAGGAGGATGGCAGCTTAGAGTAGGCGTGCTGCTTGTACTCATGTGTTGATCCCATAGGCGTTTGTGATGTGAGATCATGTGCCTACGCAAAGCAGTTGTACCTAGGTGGGTGTTGGACTTCCCACGACTCAGTTTCTTTTGGCACAGGTTGCAAATGGAATCGCTGTTGTCAGAGGTAGACACACAAAAAAAATTCCACACTGCTGAGTGTAGCGGAGAGGCAATATTCCCCAGGTTATCTCCGCTTATAATCCAAGTGAGGCTCAGGAACAAGTAAATAATAAATCCACAGGCAAGGTTTCCATCAGGTAAAATAACAGCAATATCCCCACAGCAATCCCAATAACTGGACGACACACAGTTTCAGGAGCAGAACTGAACTCTTTTAATCCACACTGTCCTTTTAAAGCATGCTCCCATGCAAGGGAGGGATTTACAATCATTAGTACAGTAGCCAATCCTGTCCTGGTAACCTCCCACACATCTCATCCCCTCAGCCTGCATCATAATCCCCTTATCCAGTCTAGCAATTCCCCCCGTTTCTGGATGTACCCCTAAACGTAGGGGTACCCCTTTAAATCCTACATCCCCTGATAGCCCTGATCTGGGTGAGCAACATATCCAAAAATCATATCCAGATCAGACCAGGGGTTCGGGAAATGTATGGAGGGAATAAAATGACCGACCGCACTGACTGAGATAGCCGAATGCGGTTCCATGCGAATGGGCCCTCCGGTTGGTCCTGGAATAAGGGAACAAATTGCACGAAATCCTTTAGCTATAGAGACTAGGGAGGGTTCGCCTGAATCCCCTCGTTCGGTTCTTTCTATCTACCGAACGAGGGGCCGTTCGGTAGTTAGGAACTGAACGGACCGGGCTTGTGGAGGATTCAGCGGTGTTCACCTAGTCGAGTGTCCGATTTGAGTTCCAGACACTCGACGGCAAAACACCGCTGTTCGGGAGTTTTAAAATGGCCGCCGCCACGTGTTCGTTTGTCGAATGGCGGCCACCCCGAGAACAAAGGACGGATACTTAACTTGTCAATTACCCGTTCGCAACAATGTTGCAATGGGTAATTGAGGACACACTTTACACAGGGGAGGTCTGCTTGTTCGGTAGTTTCATTCCCTTAGTTTATTCGAATGATTCTACCAAACAATCAGAGGAATACAATTCTTTTAAATACATATAACAACAGCAGATCACACGAATGCAGTTATTCACAATACATTTGCAGGACAGCCCAGTGCCATCCGCTACACTGAGCTCTGCAATGACGGCATTCTGGTGGTGGACACAGCATGCGTTGATTGGCGTGCTGTCGGGCTGACCCCGGGTGCCGATGCATGCTGTCTGACTGTGCCACTAGCTCCTTGCGACGACCTCCCCCTGCTTCCAAATCGTCTCCTCCTCCTCCTCTCTGTCTCCCCATCTGAACTTTTGCCCTTTTCTTCTTCTTGCCGAGCGGGCACCCACGTGACATCCATGGACGCATCTTCATCATCAACCGCTTCACTTGTATCTGACAACTCAGCAAAGGAAGCAGCAGCAGGTACAATATCATCATCATCACACCATACGTCCATGTGTGTAATGCTGCCTGCCTGAGACATATCCCTGTTATCTACATCCTCTGGCAATAATGGTTGCGCATCACTCATTTCTTCAAGCGGATGTGTGAATAACTCCTCTGACATACCGACCGAAGCGGCTGTGGTGCTAGTTTTGGTGGTGGCGGCAGGCGGGTGAGTGGTATCTTGAGAGGTGCCTGAAGCTAAGCTGGAGGAGGATGGTGCGTCAAGGTTCTGAGCGGAGGCTGTAGAAGATTGGGTGTCCTGTGTTAGCCAGTCAACTATGTCCTCAGAACTTTTCAAGTTCAGGGTACGTGGCCTCTGAAAACTGGGCATTATTCTAGGGCCAAAGGGAATCACAGCACCACGACCACGATGGCCCCTGCGGGGTGGCCTGCCTCTGCCTGTCATTTTTTTTTTGGATTAGTGGTACTATGCGTGCAAGCTACTGTGACACCAGATATGAGTGGCAATGTGCACTGGCACAGTTCTGCAGAGCACACGCTGAAGGCCTGACACACCCGCTTTAAGGACACTGACTGCTATTAGCTTACACTGGAAACCTTTTTTTCTTTGTAAAAGCACGCTACAGTGACACCAGATATGAGTGGCAACTGTCAAAGTACGCTGGCACAGGTGTGCAGAGCACAGGCTGTAGGCCTGACACACACGCTTGAAGGACACTGACTGCTATTAGCTTACACTGGAAACCTTTTTTTCTTTGTAAAAGCACGCTACAGAGACACCAGATATGAGTGGCAACTGTCAAAGTATGCTGGCAGGGTTCTGCAGGGCACACACTGAAGGAGGCCTGACACCCAGACGCTTGCAGACAACTAACTGCTCTTCAATCTATTATTTTTTTTAAATGTAAAGCTTAAGCTATTGTGACAACAGATATTAGTGGTGGCACTGACTGTGCAAATGGGCACAGCATCCAGCCTGACACAGAAGCTGGCAGGCAGGCAACTGCTCTTCTATTACAGTGAAATTTTTTATTTTTTTTAAATGTAAAGCTTAAGCTATTGTGACAACAGATATGAGTGGTGGCACTGACTGTGCAAATGGGCACAGCATCCAGCCTGACACAGAAGCTGGCAGGCAGGAAACTGCTCTTCTATTACAGTGAAAAATTATTATTTTTTTAAATGTAAACCTTAAGCTATTGTGACAACAGATATGAGTGGTGGCACTGACTGTGCAAATGGGCACAGCATCCAGCCTGACACAGAAGCTGGCAGGCAGGCAACTGCAATTACATTACACAGAAAAAAAATAAAATAAAGCAGACTGATGTTCTAGCCCTAAAAATGGCTTTTTGGGGTGCTGTTCTTACAGCAGAGATCAGATGAGTCCTTCTGGACTATAGTGGACACTGAATACCCTAGCCTAGCTATCAATTTCCCTATGTAATCAGCAGCAGCTAGCCTTTCCCTCCTCTCACTAAGCATGCAGCTTCAGAATGAATCTAAAATGGATGCTGGGAGGGAGGTGGGAGGGTCTGCTAGGGAGGGTGTGCTGCTAATTGGCTGGAATGTGTCTGCTGACTGTGAGGTACAGGGTCAAAGTTTACTCAATGATGATGAATAGGGGGCGGATCGAACCGCCCATGTGTTCGCCCGCAGTGGCGAACGCGAACACGCTATGTTCGCCAGGAACTATTCGCCGGTGAACAGTTCGGTACATCACTACCTGCTACTATCTGCCTCTGCTGCTGGCAAAAATATGAAGTAATGCTGTTCCACATTAATGTACATTAATGATTACACTGGATAATTTTGGGAATGGCATTGTAAGAGGGGTGAAACAGGAGAATAGGATGTTAATTGCCTACTAATTCATTAAAAAAAAATGCCTATGCTGACTGATTGCTGAAGCTGTATTCTCTGCTGATCCTGGAAAACTTTGTGAAGCAACACAGTTCACTGTCTGTACACTTCTACAATATCTTAGGTCTTGGCAGCTGATTAGGAAATGGACTGCCTGCTCTGGGTGGAGAGTGGATGTATCACCAATTGTCCACTCTTACTGACCAAAAAGAGCACCATTATGATCACATGCCAGTGGGGCAATCAAAACTGGGGATGCAGTATACTTCTCATGCTCATCCACCAACATAAAGTTCTCTTCCACTCCAACACCTACAGGGACAAGAGCCAGTTTGAGACAGAGGTCAGTGGCACTTTGTCCTGATGGCAGTACTTCAGCTGGATGAGCAGTGAGCTCCTCTGGCTCATCCACCAATGCAAGAACAGCAGCAAGGTAGGATCAGAGGCCAGCAGCCCAATACCAATGCTTCAGCTGAGGTTGCAGCATTTCTTTTATCCTCATCAAAGGCACATAAGGATGAACGAGTCACTTTGAGGTCAACATGGATACATGAGGACAACATGGATACCATTGGTGCTGCTCTGTGTTGCTCTTGGTGCAGCTCCATCCGAATCTGTGCTCATAGAGCAATGTGTTCGCCAGTGTTAGGTTGGGGCCAAGGTATGCCAAAGCTTTTTGCCACATGTACTCAAACTCAGACTGTGGGGTACCTAACTTTTGGCTCTGCTCACCTATGCTGTTGCAACTTGTGGCTCCATGTCTCTGTACTGTCTTGGCACACTAGGTTCTAGTCACATTTCAGTATGCAGAAAGTAGAGAGGAATGGGATATGACTCTCTCTCTGGTCAATCACTGCACACATACTTCTCACTATGCTCATTGATCCCCCATTCTGTTGGTCCCTCATACCTGGTATAATCCCGTATTTAATGGTGATACCCTGACATTATTAATCCCATGCTGCACAGTACACAGTCTGTCATGCTGTGCATTACCAGTTTTAATTTATGGTGTGATGCGACCTATCCAGCAGCATGGTATATGAAAATATAATTCACTCAGTGAAATATGGGTCCAATGAGGTTATATTCTGAACCCATCAAAGTGATACTTTTCTTATTGAATTATACTGAATACCATTATAGTTTCATAAACCAACCATTTTGTTAATATAATACAATTTAAGAGTCTTATATATAATTTATAATACTCACCTAGTGAACTACTACTGTAAGACATCTCACCCTTTTCTCCCTTTTGACCCTTTTCTCCTTGTGTACCATAGAAAAAAATAAACAGCTTTCAGTAAGACCATTCTCTTTAACTCTAAATGCAGAAGACGTTTAACAAAATAGTACAAAACAATTATTTTACTAAGGTATATTAGCCATCATAAAAAATAACTAAAGGCTGTGTTTTTTTTTTTTTTTTACAAACATGAATACTATAATAAAAATAAAGTCAATAAAGTTATTAACCACGACAGACTCATACACTCTCAGACACTGACTCACACACTGAGCACATTTTGTACTATAAAATACCCATTCATTGAGCACAACCGCACTTGTTAACCTCTCTTTGCTGTGATGGGGGCTCATTCCTAGCAGTTTTATCCAAGGAACCTGACACTAGGTCATTGTACTTGACTCTTTAATAGACTCTGGATAGTCCAGGTCTAGAATTACAGCACTGTCTGACATTATACAATGCACTGGCTGCAACACGCATCCACCCTGCATTCAGGCAATTTGCACAAATGGTAGTTCATTGTTTGCTCTTGTATTTATTTTGTTTACATATATACGCCATGCTATACATTTTTGAATAGTGATGTCCCGAACGGTTCGCCGAACGGTTCGCCAAGTACTCATCATTGAGTAAACTTTGACCCTGTACCTCACAGTCAGCAGACACATTCCAGCCAATCAGCAGCAGACCCTCCCTCCCAGACCCTCCCACCTCCTGGACAGCATCCATTTTACATTCATTGTGAAGCTGCATTCTTAGTGAGCTGTTCAGGAGGTGGGAGGGTCTGGGAGGGAGGGTCTGCTGCTGATTGGCTGGAATGTGTATGCTGACTGTGAGGTACAGGGTCAAAGTTTACTCAATGATGAGTCCGTGGTGAACCATTGGTGGCGACCCATTCGCGAACCGTTCGGCGAACCGTTCGGGACATCACTATTTTTGAATAGTTAAATTTTAACAGATTTAACTGATTAGTTATTGGAGCATAACTACAAATATACTGTTGCACTTCCTAACATACTCTGTGCAATATCTATGCTTACCAGCATTTCCTGGTGATCCTTTTGGCCCTTGTAATCCAGGCATTCCTTTTTCTCCTTTACTTCCAGGGTAGCCTGAACATAAGTATCATATAATAAATATTGACTGATATATATATATATATATATATATATATATACTGTCAAACATAAAAATATAAAACATAAAAATACCCACAAACATAATAAAAACATAAACCCCACAAATAATACATTGTTAAATAGCCCTGATCTGAGAGCCCAAGTTCTCCAAATAGCAATTATTGTTAAAGTTCTAACCGGCCACACAAAATAGTTCCAGGGCGTTTGGTGCTTTTGCCGGTCAACTTTCGGGAGCTCCTGCGGCCACAATATGGGCTCCGTCTGGCTCTTAGGTAGCATTTGTTCCGCTTAGTCTCAGGCACCTTCCCTCCAAAAAGCGCTCTCCTGGTGGATTTCAAAGTGGTTCAAAACCGTGAGCCAAGTTGTCCAGGAACCGCACGGTCACCTCATGTTGAAAACAGTTCCATAACATTCGCAGCTAAGTCCCGCTGAGGTGACCGGGAATCCACAAAGTCTCTCTTCATTTAAAATAAATAATTTAAAAATATATGTATCAGACCAGGAGATGTTGAGTGTCATGGACTGTTTTATTTGCCCCATTGAGGGGTTTTAAAAAAAACAAAAAAACTGAATAAACTGTACTTATGAAGCTTATACAATCACTTGACTGACCATTGATGGTATACTCATTATAATAATATATTCTTTCAATTCCTGTTTCAAAATGTGAGTGCCGACTCATTTGGCAGCAAGGCTGTATTGACCTGTCATAGCTAATTAAAGGAATACTATAGTAACCTGTTCAATGTTTAGATACCCAGCCACCCTCCAAGTGCATGAAAAAGTCAGATATACTTACTTTTTCTCTAACATCGTGCTGGTGTTAACATGGCTGGCTTCACCTCTATTGCTGAGATCAACAAGCTTGATAATCTCCGCCAATGCAATGCTGTCCTAGAGGGAGGCATTGGGAGGCTATTGCCCATGCAAAATCCTTAACTCCTCATAGGGGTGCATACATTTCACCACTGAAATAGGATGCTAATTTTTCAGAGTAAAGGCAGTGTTTACATTGCTGCCTAGTAATACCTCTGGGTGCAGTCACTCAGATGGCCATCTGAGTGACTGCACCCAGAGGTATTACTAGGCAGCAATGTAAACACTGCCTTTACTCTGAAAAATTTGCATTTACACTGAAAATCCTGCAGGGACACGCTATAGGCACCAGAACCACTACATTAAGCTATTGTGGTTCTGGTGACTATAGTGTCCCTTTAAGCAAACATATGCTAGTCAGTATTTGGCCTTTATGGACTAATTTGTAATGCAATCAAAATATAACATTACACTAAAAAGAATGTTGTAAATGACATACATATTAAAATATTAAGTGCATTTACCTCTCGCACCTTCTCGTCCCTGGTCACCTGGATCACCTTTCAGTCCTTTCTCACCATGTTCTCCTTTTGGACCTGGTGGACCTATATAGACAGCACAGAATAAAATAATTATTTGTCAAGTACACAGCTTAATTTATAGAATAATAATATTATTTTTATTTGATATTTTAGCCCATAAAGGATAAAGTATTATAATGAAAATTAAAAATATATAGTGTAGATTATGTGGCTTGTCTTTTTATAATGTGACTTAAAATGTACCTTAATCTCCCTGAAAGATGATGTACCAGGACTGTCATGATAACACAGCCATTACATAACTCTTTGTTGTGAAGGATTTTAAAACATGTAATTAATTATACCCATTCATCTTTTACATGTAAAATAAACAGTTGCTAGAGTTAAAAGTTATGTCAAAGGATATATTGAATGTGATCAGATGTGTGGACATAAGCAACTATTTATGAACATTTTGGAAAGTCAGCAGATTAGTTCTTGTGTTGCATTGTGATGTAATGGTATATTGGCTTTATATTCTTATATATAGATTATTAATGACAAACATAAGCAATATTTTCAATATGTTTAAATAAGAATATTTAAAAATAAAACTGATGGATCCCCCCCCCCTTTTTTTTCCTTTTCTTTTCTTATTTTATCCTTTTATTTATTTTGTAATTTAAAATATATATATATATATTTTTTTTTTACTATAATATGTTCATTACTTGTTTGTTTTAGAATTATATTGTTATGTTTTTTAATCTATCAATAAAAACGACTTGATTATAATATTTAAAAAATATGGACAGGGATATTGACAATTGTACAGCTCACCTTGAATTAATGTTAAATTTTGCAATGTTATTGAATGCTCCCAATCTTTTAATTTGAGGTCATTTGTTATTGTATTTAATAATTGCACTTCTTCTTTCATTTCCCTATCCAGGGAGGTACACTGTTCTTTCACATTAGAAATATCCGTTGATGCATTGTGGAAACGTGATTTGAGTTGCACAATATCCTTAAGGAAGAATGTTTACATAGATTTATTTACACTTCTTCAGCTTTTACATTGTAAAATTACTGCATGACATGACAAAATGCAAAATGGTCTGTGTTTTTTGTTTTGTTTTTGTGTTTAATCCTCACATTTTCTGATGCTCAATATTAAAACATAGCTTATCTAATACATAGATTATATAGGTGGCCAGTAAAAATAGAAGCAACTCTTTGCAGAGTTATTTTAATGGGGGCAAGGACAAAAGAGAGCCTGGGAGGGCACTTATATATTCTGTTCATGCTCATATATGTTCATGTCCTTGCTTGTCCTTGAGGGTCTAATTATGTATGTATTTGTGTTTCTGAGCGTGTAAATGTATGTGAGTGTGGTTTTAAGAGTGTAATTCTATATGTGTGTCTTTTAGATAATAAATGGTCAAATTAGCATCATTTAAGTTTTTAAGACAAACTCAATGAGTTGTTTGTGTAGAAAGGCTGTGCATGATGTGTAAGTGTGTGTTGTGTGGGGGGAGTTTTATGTGTGCAGGGTTGTTTCAGGGCTGTGCTGTCTGTGATGAATGTTTGACCAGTTCGGTGTGGTGTGATTGTATGTGATTTGTATATTTTGACTATGTAATGAATGCCGTAGATGTGTCTATGATGTTTGTGACTATGATGTTTGTGTTTTGTCTGTGTGTTATGTGGGTGACAATGTAATTGTTTGAAGTGCTAGAAGTGTTTCTTTAAAAGCAGTTAAAACATTTAGCAAAGGTAAGCATTGACCACCACCTCATGTTTTGTGTGGACATATCCACTTATCCAAAAGATGTAGACATTCTGAAGCGGTATTGTGTCTCTAACAGACATAGCATAAATATATACAATTATAAATATACAACAGTATATATTAATGCAAGCATGTATATTATTAGAATTTTACTTCTTGTTCTGTTGGATTAGAATGTGTTCAGTTTCGATGCAGATCTGATAAGTGAGTCTAGATCTTACCTCCTGCAATCTGTACACATTTTCTGTAAATGTTAAGTTGAGCAAATCTATTTCCGTCTGAAAATGACCCAGTACTGTTTGCAGGGATTCCAGTGCTTTCTGAATTTCTGTGACAACCTTGTCACGGTCTTGATTTTGCATTAAAGTTTGGTTTAACAGTTGATTTAATGTTTGCAGATGTGATGATTTTACAGACAGCTCATATTTAATATCAGAAATGTTTTGAGCAAATTCCTGTTGAATAATGGAAAAATCAGGCAACATTTGTTCATTTGGTTCTTTCAAATCCCATTCGTCTTGATGACTTGCTTCCATTTTTTGTACATTATTCCCATCTTTAACTGCTGTGTTAGCTGGATAAAAAAAAAAAAGAGATATAGAAAAGTGTTATGTTAAAGGACAGATCATGTTTTAAACCCCAGCATTCACAGAGATGAAGATTCCTGTAGCAATTAATTCCAGTAATTCATCGTAATTATATCATGCATTGAAATATGAGGTGTTGTTATGCTCTCAGCAAATACCCCATAGAGAACCTTTCACCGGTAAATTGCAGGAATAGGAGAAATCACCAACTTTCTCTAGTTTCCCACTCTCTAAAGTCAGCAGAGATATCAGCCGTCGGACTTATATTAGGAAAGAGAACTTGCTGCTAGACTTATTGCAGTGCTAAAATTAAAGGAACACTAACCCCAACCTTATCACTAACTCTAACTTTAACTAAATATCTTATTCCAATGCTAACTTTGAACACATCTAGCTATATAAGATAATTCAAATTGCTCAGTATAATGGCTTTGGGACAGAGGCAAGTGGAACCTTTCATCAGCATAAACGTATCAGGAATTCTATTTCATTTTAAGATTTATTGTCAGTATTTTATGGAGAAATATTTCAATCAAATGAATGCATAGCACATTTTGTTAGGGCATGCTTTTCAGCTGGTACAAACATATCAAATGCCTTTTAAAGGGATATTCCACACACATAAAGCACTTCAGCTTGCTGCACTGCTTTATGCTTAAGGAGCATCTCCTTTTAATTGCAATTTATAAAAGTGCTGATTTCTATTTGAAACTGTCAGTAGCAACTCCAAGGCTTTCAATTGGAGAGCTGTGGGAGGTTTTATTCCCGATTTCAATGAGTTAATGAAAGGTGCATTCTGCTAGAGAACTGTCACGATTACCAGGAGAACCCAAACATGCAGACAGATCACAGACACACAGATATTGCAATACCGGTCCTTAGAATGGCCGGGCTATGCAAAAGAGATAGAGTAGTCAGAGTACAAGCCGAGGTCAAGGATCACAGAAAACAGAGTAAATGAGAAATGAGCCAAAGTCAGTAACCAGAGAATGAACCACAATACAAACGCGCTATTGGGCTATGAAAGACCACAACAGGGCACTGAGGCAAGGGGAAGGTAAACTTATATACACACAGGGTGTGTCTGATTGGCTAACTTCCAATTAGTGTTAATTACAACATGGGAGGTGTCTTTTCCCTCTCTTGTGAACAGTGATGGGTCTGACACACGTATAAGGAAGCTGCCTTGGAGCGTGCCGAGTCAGAAACACTGTCAAGTTGGGGAGCAGCGGCAGGGACAGCCACAAGCCGTGGACCAGAACCGGAACCGCAAGACCCCGCTCACAGTGATGGGGTAAGCAAGGACGCCATGAGTGGTGCGGGGACAGGTGTCCTGAAAAGAACACATACATTCTCCCTCAGAGATGCTCCTGTTCAGCTGAACGCTGCTGGATGAAGTTTCGCACCTTGTCAGACTTTCTCCATTATAGATTCATCTTACGTTTGGACAGCACAGCCCTCACCCTTGCTAAACAATCATACCCTTCCGCTCTCATAAGTTCATGCTCCCATAATCCCACGTATCTTTAATTCCTTCAACTATCTTCTTTGCCCTGCTATGGTCACCCTCAAAACTACCCTTACAGCCAATAGTTTTGCATACTACTTTACAGACTACTTTACTCCCCCCTTTCCTTCTCTTTCTCAATTGTACTTGGATCATGCCTTATCTAAACTTCAGACCTTCTCCAGAGTTACTGAACAAGAGGTGGCGGCTCTTCTCTTTTCCTCTCGCCCCACTACTTGCTCACTTGATCCTGTCCCTTCTCACCTTCTCAGATCTCTCTCCTCTTGTCTTGTGCCTTCCTTAACTGCTCTTATTCTTCTGGCTTTGTCGCTGCTCTCTCTCCTATACTGTAGTACCTGTCATAAAAAAGCCATCTCTTGACCCATCTTCCCCTTTTAACCATCAATCCATATCCCTGTTTACTTTTTCCTCAAAGCTTCTGGAAAGATTTGTCTTTACCCATTTGGCTTACTTTCTCAATTTCAACTCTTTCTTCAACCCTCTTCAATCTGGCTTCTGCTCCCTCGACTCTACTAAGAGCACTGTGATTAAAGTTACAAATCTAATTGTGGCTAAAGCCAAAGGCCACTGCCCCATACTAGTTCTTCTTGACCTCTCTGCTGTCTTTGACACTGTTTATCATGTTTTCCTTCTCCCCCAAGACTCTGTTCTTGGTACTCCTCTGTTTTCTCTTTATACTGCCTCTCTTGTCAAATGTATTACTTCATTTGGATTCTGCCACCATCTGTATGCCAATGACATTCAGATATATCTCTCCTCCCCAGATCTCTCCCCTGCCATCCTACAACATGTCACTGTTTGCCTTTCTTTCATCTCTGATTGGATATCCTCTTGTGTTCTTAAACTCAATCGCTCTAAAACTGAGCTTCACATCTTTCCTCCTGATAATACTGATCCTCCTCTTTTGCTCTCCCTTTAAGTTGATGGTATCTGCATTAGCCCATCCTTGCAAGATCTCTATCTCTGTGTTTTCTTTAACTCTGGCTTCATCTTTGTGTGTGTCCAGTCTGTTGCTAAATACTGTGGATTCCACCTTAAAAAACAAGAAGTTGCCAAAGAGCTTGTTCATGCTCTAGTAATTTCTTGCATTGATTATTGTAATTCTCTGGTAATTGATCTTCTCAAAATCCGTATTGCCTTGCTAAAGCCTGTAATGAATTAATTTTCCTCCACTGTCACTCCTCTAAACCTCACTTCTCTGTAGTCCTTACGTTGGCTTCCTGTATCCTATAGAAGTCAATTTAAAATACTAACTATAAAGCATTTAACAGCTCTATTATATTTCTTCACTGATTCAAAAAAATGCCCTTTTTCAGTCTCTCCGCTTTGCTGGTGACTTTCTCCTGTCTGTTGCTCGCATCCACTGACAAACCCATGCTTGCAGGATTTCCCGTGGGTGGCTCCCTTCCTTTGGAATACCCTGCCTACCACCATCAGACTCTCCCCTAGTCTTCAATCATTTAAGTTGTCCCTCAAAAACCATCTCTTCAGGAAAGCTTAGGGCCTCCCAGAGTAACTTCTATCTCACAAACCTGTCTCTTGCTTAACCTGTTTCTTCCTCTCTCCTAAAAGGCAGCACTCAACTCTCTCCTTCAGTTCTGCTTCACTCTTTGGTGGCTATCCCCCTCAATGCCTGTCCTGTTGTGTTTTACACCCCACCTCCTCTAGATTGTAAGCTCATTTGAGCAGCTTTTTTATCAACCTATATTTCCTGTAACAGTTTGCATTTGTCTCATTTATTATTAAATTTCCCCATTTTATAATATTGTGAAGTGCTCCGGAATATGTTGGTACTTTATAAATTACAAAAATAATAATAATAATATTATTATTATTATTATTATTATTATTATTAATAACGATAAGTACAAATGTGCCTGTTGGCCCATTCATGCACAAAACCACATAGCACACTAAAGCCCTAAAGTGAATGCACTGACTCCCTGTGCATATTACCATTGTTTGGACTTGAGTAATTGTAATAACCATAACCACTGCAGTGTGCTCTGCTGGTTATGGGACAAGGAGTGTCCTGACCCCAAACCTTTTGTTAATGGTTTGACAACTTACCAGGCGTATACTGGTGCTACTCATCTCCTCCATAAGCCCTAAACTAGCCGAGAGGTGCAGGGCTTAGCTTATTGGTAGAAAGTGTGGTCTGTGCAGGAACTATCAGATCTCAATGAAGGAAGTGACCAGCGCAGTGTGGACCCCAAACAAGTCTTTAAACTGTTAGGAAGTAAATTAACTACTAACAATGAGGAGGAAGAATCAGGCAGCACAACAGTGCCCTGTAGTGGTTATGGTACTTGAAGAGTTCCTTTAATAAATAAAGCAAATATGAAATTGTGTTTACCTTTAAGAAAAATAAAGAAGCAGGGTTACAATTTTCTTATTGTTGTATTTTAAAATTAATAATATTAAGGAACATATACTTTATAATTAAAAGTCTGCCATAAACCACACATACTTATAACATCAAGTAAATCTTTACCTTTAAGCCCAATAAAAATGAGTAGAAAGGCCAAAACAATAATATAAAGAAGAGCAAGAGCAGCAACTGTGAATTTCAATTTCTTCTGAATGGCTACCAAAGATTGACCTGTAAATTATTAAAAAGACAGTTAATTAATTCAAGTAATACAGTGTACATTGAGAGTCTTTACCATGTAGGCAATGATTGCATTTCATGAAAGAACATTATATAGCTCTTATTAATATTTAGTTAGTACTGCAGAGCATATGGGAGATAATACATAAAGGGACACTCTAAGCAAAAAGACAATTCTAGCTTAATAAGATGGTTTTGATGTAAAAATCAGGCCACTGCAATTTCACTGCTCAATCCTCTGCCCCATGTTCAAATCCCTTTGTTTATCCAGCCCTAGCCACACATCCCTTGACTGAGACTCAAAACTGTGTTGGATTATTTAGAATTTCTTATATGCTGCCTTGTTAATAGTCTTCTGGAGCCTACAGGAGCCTTGTGTGAGATTAAAGTTCAATTAATAGAGCAGGAGACAAAAACTTCTAAAGTAAACACACTGTAATGTAATATCTGAATTGAAAATGTGACAATTTGTTCATGGAGGATGTGTGAGTCATGGCCAGGGGATGTGTGGATAAGGCTGCATAAACAGAAACAAAATTATTTAGCTCCTAAACGTCAGATAATTAATTTTTCAACATAAATATATACAGAAAGCCATCTTAGATCACTCTACCCTCCTGTTTGTGTCTGTGTCTGACTTGTGCATAGCGGAACAGGGAAGCAGCTAGTAAACATTAGAATGTATACTTTTCTGAGGTGAAGGGAACTTACCACAAGGGCAGTGAGATACAAGCACACCCAACTTGCCCTGCCCTTCCGTCCCACTTTTTGTTTGCTGTATTTGTTTTTTTTTCTTTATTGTCACATGTCACTTGTTGGACTTCCTGGACAGTACAAATGATAACATATGGTTACACCGTCTCTGGTGAGCTTTGGTGAGGCAGGTCTTGTGGAATGCCTATGTCTTACAGGGATATAGCTCAGGGATTTCAGTTATCTGTCTACCTGGTGGTAGAGTAGACTTAACTGTTTAGGAACTAGTTATGTTATTTGGTTCTGCAATGCCTTAAAGTCCTGAGCCCTTGACTAATAAGTGACGTGTTGCTATTTCATTCATTGGGCCTGGGTCAGTTGGAGGTCCCTGGTTCAGCAGCCTTGTTCCTTTCATCACTATGACTTAAATTTCCTCTCTGACAAGTTAGCTCTCAGATTTATGTCACAGTCACATTTTTTCTATCATTCTTTATCACCTATATTTTCAATATCTCCAAATCATCAGGGGCATTATTTCTCATTATACATGGTTCACTATTATGCATCCCATATACACATGAGGGATATAGCCATACATTACAAATTGATACAAGGGAAGCCAGACACAATCAATCCCTACTGTATAAGTGTTTTATTCACTATGTAATCTAATCTAAAATAATCCAGTCTGTTTCTTATTTTATGCCGATATTAGAAAGAAGAAAAAAAGAATTCAGCACTACAAATAAAGGTAGCTGTACATGTGAGTTCATTTTACACAGAGCAAGGGCGAACATAACACACTCACTAGATGGTAGTAATGATGCCAATGACTGATTGTCCAGCTTCACAGTATCTGTTTGATCAAAGTAACACTGGTCATCAGTATTCTCAGATGATTTGGACCACAATGCCATTTTTAGCCTGCAAAATAAAAAGAATCCATTTTCTAAAGTTGCATTGCAGTCCAGTCAAGACCAGCAATCAAGCAAAAAAAATGTAAATGTATGCAGGCATAAAATACACTGAGAATGGTATTAAACAAATAGGCTCCATATTCACACATAATATAAAAAGCACTAAAATATATATAAAATGCATAAACCATCTATTACTATTTTTTTAAATGCATTTATTTTTTTAACTGGATTTCTTTTGGTTGAACGTGCCACCTATCCACTCTAGGTATCCCTTTCAAAGTGACCACAGGAAGGCATAAATATAAGAAGAGTCTCCTGAAGCAGTTTAAGCATGTTTATCTACCATGAGTGTAGGACCTGCCGTTAGTGGGGTAATTTGATGCAAAGGTGGTCTTAACCACAAAGTGGGCATATGGTTTCATTGAACCCCATATTTACTTAAAATAGGTGTTCCCTTATTATGTATTTTGTATATATGTTGGTCTTTACAGCAGCAGTGGCTTTGAGAAATGCATATTCTGCATTTGTTTTGAGTCCAAATGCAACCACTCCAATGGAACTATAAAACCTGTAACACCATCTTAAAAATTTAAAATAAGTTAAGTCTGATTTTATTTTCATAGGTCAAACAGTCTTAGCACCATAACCACTACTGTGCTCGCAGTGCCCAAGTGCAAATCCTTGCACTAATCGTGTTGTGATTTGCACAATTAATGGCATATGCTTTTGTTTATTATTTCGTACTTATTAAGACTTTATTACTGTATTTGTGATTTTACACATTGTATATTTATACTTTAGCATTTTATATTACCAATTGAGTGGGGTTTTTTTTTACCTAAGGTGCACTATTGTATATTGTGCATCATTTATTTTGCATTTATTGTTATTTAGAATTTTCCTACCAGGATTCTGTTATGGTTGTTGCAGGTGAAGTGTCATAGTGAACTTTTACATATGTTCTTCATTTTTTTTATACTAGCACTTAAGATTGTACTGTGCTTTATAATTTTTTATTTTAGTTTGAAACATTTTTTTATATATTGTTGGGGGGTTTTCTGGTACAGTATTTGTATACTTAACACAACATTAAGTTTATTGTTTAAAATGCCTCATATCTAGCTTTTCAGTACATTTTTGGAAGTTAAAGGAAAAATATTGCAACTAATGAATCATAATTTTAAAGCTAAACTTTTTAAAAGTTTGGTATGCCGAGGCTATAATTTTAATAGCAGTCAAGGGATTCAAAACTGTTAGGTAACCCTAGCTAACCATAAACCATAACCCTAGCTAGTACTCACTAACTCAAACACTTAACTGTTTAGTGGCTTGGTCCATATACATATATACATACACACACACACTGAAATGGACTGTGTATCCTGTACAGATACCTAGTATCACAAAAATCCACAGCAATAAAACTCACAATAATGTGCACTGTATGTGAATGTATCAGATTTCTCAAAGCAATTAAACTCATGGTAACATGCAATTTGTATCAATGTATACAAACAGTACAGTGTATAGGAGAATTGGAAAGTGCTGAGTAAATATCAAATGTAGAGAGTTCTGAGAGCACATTATCAGGAAAGTATTTCCCTGTCCTCGATCCCTTGTTACTGTCTCATTATACCCCTGTTTCTTCAGCTTGGCATACTCTGTTTGCCTACCATAGTTGACTTACCGTGTTCCTAATGTAGAAGTGATCCCTCTCTGCCAAGTCAAGCTACAGCCTTCACAGCTTCTCTCCCAGATGCAGCTTCCCAATTCCATGCAGCTCTGAGAGTAGAAAGGGTGTGATGTCAAATGCTGTTCCTCCCTCTTTATCTTTCTCTTCCCTTTGGGGTTGGAGAAAGAGGTCCTACTGTTTCTGCTATCAGAGAAGGTAGAGGCAGGGCGTGGCATAATGGGTTGAAAATCCCATTTGGGTTTTTTCAATTGTGTCAGTAACACCCTCAGGGCCCTCGCCTGGCAACATCCCTGGCCCCTAAGGCCAATTTGGGAGGGGAACTGCCAAAAGAAAAAGGGCACTACCCCAAGATAGTACCAACATTTTCCCAGAAAATACATATAAATATTTATATTTTTCTTCTCCAACTAATCTTTAGTAGCAAGGCTGAGTGGCATTGAAATTATAAGCCTGAGAGCAATCATGATATCAGCTTTGCACAGCAATTTAATCAATTAGACAGCCTCAGAGGGGATATTACCAGACACCTACACTTGTGAAGAGTCCAACAATAACCAGGACTCATCACAGTTGGAAATTTAGGGAAGCTTAAAAGCTACTGTAGCCTGTGGGGACAAATTAGCTAAGAAAGGTTGCATTGTTTGTGAATCAACCAGGCCCTCAACTCAAAGGCTACATGTCCAGATTGCCCATAATGTTCATCAGGCTGATTGTACATATTCCTTATCATCTCTCACATAAGAGTGGCTTGTGATATTTATCACTTTACATTGCAGCAGCCCACGGCTAATAAACCAGAAAGTGTTGGGGGAATAACCAGAAAGAGTTAGGGCAATGAGTAGTTGCTTTTACTACTTTTGCAACCTTAGTCCTTATCTGTCACCCTTAGCACCTCCTTCTTCTGCTTGGCTCTCAGTCACAATGCTCCATGGTCCAGTAACTATGCCATCCCTCCAATGCCCATGCTGGTAGCTACTGACGTTTGCTAGGACAACTGTAGGACTGATGTGAGCCCCTCCAACTGCCACCTAAGCAAGACTGACTATTCTTAATTGAACTTACCTAATACTGGGTTTACAGCTCTAAACTGTGCATATACTTTTGTGACGTTCTTCCTTTAGCTTCTATTAATGTACTATGTCACCCTGTTACGTACTACCTATGTCGCTGTATCACATACCCTCCACTTCAGCTTGTCATATTCCTCACTTATTATTCACTTGCACCCATCCCCCCTGTCACCTAACTTCCCAGTTAATTACCCTCTCACCCCGCTATATATTAAACCTCATCTATCTATACTCTCACCTACTCACTCCGAGTTAATTATCCTCACCCACGCATTAGAACATTTAATTAGCATGCAAGAGACGCAGAGGTTTAAAAGGGACCTGCAGAAGTAGAGGCTCACTCCTGTCTGTACCCTGGCCATCATTAATGGCACAAGTGACACAAAGTACATTGTATAGCAGCCATTGTGAAGAGGTGAAACATACAAAATTCTTCTCAAACAAACAAAAACAGAAAGAACTTTGTTCGTGTCTGGCATTGCTTGGTATACACAAACATCACAATGTTCCAAAAATAACCATGCATTGCTACTCACAACATCCCGAGCTTAATTGCAGAAATTATGCCTCAACAAAAAAAATACAAAACTAAATACATATATTTACATTTAAAGAATTTCAAAAAGGAAACAGCAGAAAGAATACATACTAGTAAAAGGTACTTGACCAGAAAATAGAGTGGAAGACTGAGCCGTAATTGCAGAAACACTGCTTTAAACAAAGAGTCGTAAGATACTATCTAAGAAATGTGCTTAGAGCAAACACAGTTACGACATCTAAAAGGCGAGTGAAGCCAAGATAATAAATTGCATACAAAGTATGAAGTTTTACATAGTTTTACATAGGATGGAAAGAGAAGATGTTCTTATCTCGTGGTTTAATCCGTGCAGCAGATGATGCTTCTGAAATAGCTTTTGTAAGATTTCTCTCAAGATGGATTAGCATTGGTATGAATGGTGTCTGAAATCACTAGAGTTAAATGAGAGTTGGTTTCAAAGCCGCATTGAACACTTGTAAAAATATTGTCCATTATACGTTTCAGTTTTTTAATAAGTTTACCTTTTCTTTTGGCAGATATACAGCTAGGGTTATTAGATTTCTCTTCTTGTGTAGAGAAGTTGAAATGCTTTGTTGTGCATTCTTTTACTAAGAGGAAATGATTCCAAATACAGTGTGATTGAGAAAAGCATGACCAGTTTGCAAATTCAATTTCTCTGCGTCAGGATAAATAATGGAACTGTGACAAACATTTATACTAGACATGGTATTTTGGATTGTTCACTAGTTGACCATAGGCAGTAAAAGATAAGACTGGCCCATAACATTCTGGCTCCTAATAGAGCCATTTTTTTTAGCTTGTTATCCTTTAGTAAGCTTGTTAGCCTTTATATTAAGAGCTAAAATGTTGCTGATCGTTATCCAGTAAATCTGCCAACACCTTAGACCTGTGCCCAGACTTATTTCTCATCTTTATTGTTTGTGCAGTTTGATCATCTCTGGACTCGAGGGATGGTCGCTACCTCTTACGTGTACTTACCCAACCTTTCCCTAGTTGACCAAAGAACCCCAGTGAAAAAAGTTCTGATGCAAGCAGTGTATGAAACAAACAGCAGTATTACATCGACAGGCATATTAGAATAGCAGTAAGAAAAAATAGCAGGAAATCTTAGGTCTCCAATAACCAAGACAATGAACATATACAGGGTTATTCACCCTGTATCTGCAAAATCCAGACTTTGTTAACACTATTTATAAATATTCCAATTTTGTAATCAGGAATTGTCTGCTCTGAATTTCAGCTGGATCAAATGACCCCGGATGACTGAAATCCAGACTAAATATGTGGCAGTACCTGCCTGAAAAATCAAGTGTCATGTGATGTGTGGGGGAATAAGGGCTATAACATTTCACAGTGTTTTCCTTTCAGCTTGAGGGATATTCCAGCGGAGATACTCAGCCCAAGTATAGGAGCTCCGCTACGATTGGTGGCAAGCAGCGCGATCATCCCTCTCAAAGAAAGAAAGACACGGGATAACCGATGGACTGTCCACGGAGAACAATTATGTAGCCCTCAATAGAACCACCCTAAAGGAAATACTGGAGGCAAGGGAACAGACAGCCAGCAAAAAAACACAAGGGCTGCCTTTCTCACGGCACTAATGGAGGGTGACAGAACAAGTGGTGTAATCACGCTCATCCCCAGAGGAGACTGAATATCAATGAGAAATAAGAATTCGGATGGCGTTTTATGGAGCACAGCCATTGGAGTAAACAACACATAGTTAGATAGTTACATAGTTACATAGATGAAAAGAGATTTGCGTCCATCAAGTTCAGCCTTCCTCACATATGTTTTTGCTGTTGATCCAAGCACCCAGCACCCTAACACTGACACATCCCCCTAATACACACACATCACCCTAACACACACACAGCACCCAAACAGCACCCTAACACATACAGCAACCTAACACATACAGCAACCTAACACACACACAGCACCCTAACACACACATCAACCTCACACACATATCACCCTAACACACACATCACCCTAACACATACACAGCACCCTGACACACACACAGCACCCTGACACACACACAGCACCCTAACACACAGCACCCTCACTCACACAGCACCCTCACACAGCACCCTCACACACACAGCACCCTCACTCACACAGCACCCTCACTCACACAGCACCCTCACTCACACAGCACCCTCAAATACACAGAACCCTCACACAGCACCCTAACACACACATCACCGTCGCACAGCACCCTAACACACAGCACCCAAACACACAGCGCCCTCACATACAGCACCCTCACACACACATACTGCACCCTCACACACACATACTGCACCCCCCCCCACACACAGCACCCTCCCACACACACTATACTCCTCACAAATGCACACTACACCCCTCACACACACAGCAGCCCTCAAACATGCTGCACCACTCACACACACTCACTAGATCTTCTATACGCACTCCTGAGTCCTTCAAACACACACTAGATCCCCTACACACAGACGCTGCACCACCTACACACACACACTACATTTCTGACATTCACACTCTGGAACCCCTATGCACACACTAGATTCCATTTAAGCAAACACATAGTGTCTCCATAAATGGAATACAGTGAGTATTCCAATTATGGAAACCCCTGAGACAAGTTTCAAGCAAACAAAACGCAAGCATGTTATTAAATTTGCTTGCGCTGTACAGATCAAACACAGGGCCCTTTTCTCATGCCCTGGAAGAGCATTGAACCAACATGCTCACTTTGAGATGGGGCGTGCTTGTCATTGGGGATGACAAAACACACCCTATCTGGCCCCGCCCCCTTTTCAGTGGGCCGCTGTAAATAAAAAATGCCTGGGCCGAATTTGTTCCCCAGTCCGGCCCTGGACAGACATACACTTACTCGGACACACACTCACTGACAGGCTCACTGACAGATGCACGCACTCACTGACCGACGCATACACACTGACTGACCGACACACACTCACATTCACTGACAGACACACACTCACTCAAATTCACTGACCAACACACACTCACTCAAATTCACTGACACACACACTCACATTCACTGACACACACACTCACATTCACTGACACACACTCACTGACACACATACTCACACATAATTCACTGACACACACACACTCACATTCACTGACACACACACACATTTCCCCCACTCACTATTATTAATATTATTATTTTTTTAACTTGAAATCCACCCAGCCTCCCTACTTTTGGGATAGCTATATGTATATTTCACCTGGGGTCCAGTGGGGCTGCCTGGCAGAGAGGCGGCTGGACGTGCAGGCAGGTGGGCGTCGAGGGAGCACTTTCCCATGAGCTCTCTGCTCAGCTCTTTTGTAAAGAGTGATGCCGGGAGCCGGAATATAGCTCAGGGGAAAGTGCTCCCTCACTGCTCGCCCGAAAAACAGCCGCCCGCTGCCCTGAGGGAGCCCAAAGGTGGCCAGCCGGCCAGCTCTTGGGCTCCCATAAAACGAGGCAAACAAGGTATTTGCCTGGAAATTTGGGGGCAGCGTTTTTTGCCGCCCCCTGGAAAGTGCCGCCCAAGGCAAATGCCTTGTTTGCCTTGCGGTAAATAGAGCCCTTGTCACACCCGAGGCTTACAGATGCCGGTTCCGAGAATTAAAAAAGTGAGACAAGGAATGGGCATGCCAGCTACACAGAGCAGCGGTCAACTGGATCTAAGGGTGCCAAGCCACTACACTGGAGCATGTACTATAGCATGTTCTGCTAAAACAATGTTATAACAACCTTAAGCAGGAGATCCAAGAGTGGGTGAGAGACCGCCGACCACATACTTTAACCGAAGCGGTGCAACCTGCGGACGGGTACCAGGATGCTAGGAGTCACCAGATATCTACACCCCAAGTACCCTACAGACCCCCTTCCATTAACATTGGACAACAGTATCAACCAACCATCGCAGCCACGACCGGTCCACAGCCATCATGACCACCAACGTGCAGCGGCTCACAATGTCATTGCTGTTTGAGGTATGGACATTTTCAAAGAGACTATCCCCAAGGAAAAGAAAAACCTCAGTGGAACAGACAAATTCCCTAACCATTACCTTTGGCCGCTGCCCACTACTATCATACTGAGCCAAACCCGGAAGAAGAAACATGGGGGACTCTTCACGAGGCTAACCCCATTCAAGCAGTGGCCGATAATCGTCAGCACCACCGACAACCAGTATGGCTTAACGGCAAGGAAACACAAGTACTCAGAGATACTGGGGCCACCTTTACACTGATTTAAAGCCATCTAGTCCCCGTATCTGAAAAAACAGGAAACTCGTAGCTGTTAGAGTAGCAGGAGGAGCCTTCACAGGCTACCAACCGCCTGGGTTCATCTCAACTAGGGAGCCTGATTAGTCGAAGTTGTATTAATGAGAGTTGTACCAGCTCTTACTGGTTCTTATGTGGAAATGATCTCGGCCAACTCACCTCCACATTTACTGCTGCCCCCACAGGTGAAACCTATCCGATCACCACGAGGCACCAGAAGCAGGTAGGGTCAGGTTTGCCCCTGACCCAGACCATGACAGAAGCCCCCCTTTACTGGGATACCCCAGCCGAGTTTGAGAGAGAGGTGGAAGCAGACCCTTCTCTCCAGGTGTACAGAGACAGAGTGGTTAATAGTCAGGGGTTACTAGGGGAAATAGCTTCATATGGTGCAAGGGACTATTATACAGAATAACAGAGAATCTTGTTGCTTGATCAGTCCCAACCCGCAACAAACAGTTAATGATACCCCAGAAATACTGCAGAGAGCTGCTCCGGATAGCCCATGATATTCCCCTATCCGATCACTTGGGAGTAAGGCACACTAAGTATAGGTTGACACAGAATTTCTTTCGGCCGGGTATATCAAAGGACATTCGGCAATACTGCCAAACCTGTGATACCTGCCAAAGGTTAGGGAAGAGAGGAGATCTTCACAGAGCTTTTGGACCATTTGGAGAAGTTTACCTGGTTAGTGAAAGGAAACCTCTGGGCTGCCAAGGAGCGCCAGCACATCTGGTAAGACAGGGGAGCCAGGGACAGTAGCTTTCAGGTTAGTCAGAAAGTCCTTGTGCTTAAGCCAGTCAAACATGTCCTTACCAGGTGGTGGAATAGCGATGTGACACCACCTATGTTATAGCCCCATGCTCTGGAAACAGGGCTTGGCGCATGATTCATGTGAACATACCCTACCAGGAGCGAGCGGAAGAAGCAGTGGCCATATGCGTCCCTGCTTCTGAAGATTTTGATAATCTTCCCTTGCCAGATCTCCTGGAAGAAGGCGACTGGACAGACGAGGTACAGCTGGGAGACAGGTGAGGGGCTCAGAAGCGTTATCAAGTACAACAGTTCTTGCAGCTAAGAGAACCACCTTCTCCAACCCAGGCTACACCAGATTAGCCGAACACCAGGTAGAAACCCTGGACTAGGAACCCCTTAGACAACCTCCTTACAGAATCCCAGAGGCGATCAGAGAAGGAATGAGAAAGGAGATTAATTAATGGGCTTCTCCGGTAGTACTAGTACCAAAGCAGGACAGAGCAACCCGCTTCTGTGTAGACTACCAGAGGCTAAATAAGAAAACAGTGTCGGACGCCTAGCCGATTCCCCGGGTAAATGAATTACTAGATTGCATGGCCAGAAGGAGATACCTTACTACTTTCTATCTATGCAAAGGTTAAACATAGAAACATAGAATATGACGGCAGATAAGAACCATTCGGCCCATCTTGTCAGCCCAATTTTCTAAATAGTTTCATTAGTCCCTGGCATTATCTTATAGCTAGGATAGCCTTATGCCTATCCCACGCATACTTAAACTCCTTCACTGTGTTAACCTCTACCACTTCAGCTAGAAGGCAATTCCATGCATCCACTACCCTCTCAGTAAAATAATACTTCCTGATATTATTTTTAAACCTTTACCCCTCTAATTTAAGAAAATGTCATCATGCTCTGCATGGGCGTCCGCAGGAATTTTTCCAGGGGGGGGCATAATTGTAATGACATCCATGCTTGGTACCTTTTTGACGGTGTCATGAAAGGGAAGGGGCATAGCCATTATCACATAAAGCCAGGGTGACTAGCGTTTTCACAACTATGGTGTCAGGAATATATGTTTGTATTCCTGACACTATAGTGTTCCTTTAAGCAAATTAAAGGACATTTCTGGTCACCATAACAACTTCACCTAAATGAAAATGCTATGATGCCAGGAAGCCCCTGGGTGCTTGCTTTCCTTTAAGGGGTTAAATCGCTCTCAAATGGTTTAACCCAAAGGCTTCCTCCAGCTCCAGGTCGCTCAGTGGTATTTGGCTTCTGAAACAGAGTGTCAAGAAGTGTAGATTGACGTCAGGCATGGGTGCCGCTGATTGACTAGAGTGGACAGTTGACGCTCTAAGCCAATCGCTAGTTCCCGGTTCATAAAATATTTTTACTTTTTTATGAATGGGGAGCTACTGATTGGCTTAGAGTGCCAGCTGACCGCTCTAGCCAATCAGCAACACCCCTACCCAACGGCACTCTGTGCTTCCTGACACTCAGTAAATAAAAGTGAACACATTAACACCGATATTTTTTTACCTTTGGAGATGAGAAGGTCCAGCGTTTCCCTGCCTGGCCCAGGTACCAAAGCCTTATGATGTGGTGTCCAGAATAAAGTGGAGGGTTCACTTCATTTGTCCTTCCTGCTCCAATCTCCTTTTCCTCTCCTTCATTTGACAGTCTTTTTTTTTCTTCTGACACTGTTTTCTATCCTTGGCCCCTTCTGCTCTTTTACCTTTCTGCTACTTTCTGCTTATTTTGCGCCCTTCTGCTCCTTTCTCATTCTGATCCCTTTCTGCTCCTTGCAGACCCTTTCTGCTCCCTTTTCTACTTTACCTTTGTGCTCCTTGCTGTCCCTTTCTGCTCTTTCTCCTACTTTACCTTTGTGCTCCTTCTGATTCTTTCTGCTTCTTTACCTTTGTGCTCCTTCCTGCTCCTTGCAGGCCCTTCCTGCTCATTCTCCTACTTTACCTTTGTGCTCCTTCTGCCCCTTCCAGCTCATTTCTGACCCTTTCTGCTCCTTCTACTTTACCTTTGTGCTGCTTTACCTTCCAGCTCCTTGCTGACCCTTCCTGTTCATTTCTATATATCTAAATCTATAGGCTGCTGCAAAATCTATGGGCTGCTGCCCCTCCCCAAATCTATAGGCTGCTGCCCCACCCAAATCTATCCTACTGCCCCAAAAATCTATGGGCTGCTGCCCCAAATCTATGGGCTGCTGCACCTCCCCAAATCCCTAACTGGGCTGATGCCCAAATCATAGGCTGTTGCCCCTCTCCAAACCCTCCCCCATCCCTCCCCTGATCCTCTCACACCCCTGATCTGTAGGCTGTCTCTGCCCCCCCATCCCTCACTTACCTGATCTGTAGGCTGTCTCTGCCCCTCCATCCCTCACTCCCCTGATCTGTAGGCTGTCTCTGCCCCCCCATCCCTCACTTACCTGATCTGTAGGCTGTCTCTGCCTGCATGTGCTGTTCCCCTGCGGTTTCAATCAGCAGAGAGAAGCAGGGATAAGATGCAGCTTCCTATCCCTGTCTCTCTCCATACACACCTACTGGCCGGCGCCGGTATTGCAGTTCATTTTAAATCTCACACGAAAAATAGCAGAACAAGCTGAAAAATCCAGGGGGGGGCAAGTGCCTGCGGACGCCCATGATGCTCTGGTAGTTTTTCTTCTTTTAAATATAGTCTGTGTTGATTCCCTTTATGTTTCCTCCAAGCTATACATGTTTAACCTTTCCTGTAATCCATGAACTAGTTTTGAAGCCCTTCTCTAAACTCTTTCCAAAGTATCAATATCCTTCTTAAGATACAGTCTCCAGTACTGCGTCTCACCAGTGCTCTGAACAATGGCATGAGCACTTGCCTCTTTCTAGTGCTAATTCCTATCCCTTTGCAAGCAAGCATTCTGCTAGCATTTCCTGCTGCTCTTTACACTGTCTGTCTACCTTGACCCAGGAATGATCTCTAACAGCTATCTCTACCTTGACCCAGGAATGATCTCTAACAGCTATCTGAGGAGTGGCCAGTGAAGTTACCACTAGGTTGTAATGTAAACACTGCATTTTCTCTAAAAAGACAATGCTTACAGCAAAAAGCCTGAAGGTAATGATTCTACTCACCAGAACAAATTCAGTACGCTTGTTCTGGTGACTATAGTGTCTCTTTAACAATACTGGAATCCAAACTTAAAGATTGCAGTTTATTAATAAGCCTTCTATGTGCAACAGTGTCAAAAGTCTTACTGAAATATAGGTAAGCAATGTCTACTGCAACACCGTGATCTATTATTTTAGTTACCCAATCAAACAAATCAATAAGATTAGTTTGGCATGACCGCCCTGAAGTAAACCCATGTTGTCTCTGATCTTGAAATCCATGTGATTGTATATGTTCAACAATCCTATCCTTTAACATGAGCATCCACAGGATTTTTTCCAGAGGAGTGGGGGGCATAATTGTAATGGCATTCAAGCTTGGCCTTTTCTTACAGTGTCATGAAGGGGAGGGGCATAGTCATTATCACTTAAAGCCAGGGTGACCAGATTTTGGAAATACAAAGCCAGGACACCCATTAGGCAAGTAGGCGGAGAGAACGGTGTGACGCTGTAAATAAGGTAAATAGCGTTAAGGGGTGGGGGGAGGCTGCATATGTAAATAGTGTTTTCATAACATGTTTGTATTCCTGACAAATTAAAATTAAAGCAACTTAATGGAACATTCTGGTCACCATAACAACATAATCTAAATGAAAATGCTATGATGCCAGGAGGCCCCTGGGTGCTAACTTTCCTTTAAGGGGTTAAACAACTCTCAAATGGTTTAACCTCAAAGGCTTCCCCCAGCCTTTTTATGAATGGAGAGCTACTGATTGGCTTAGAGTGCCAGCTAACCACTCTAGCCAATCAGCGGTACCCGTGCCTGTGAACAGAATAACACTGAAAAATGTTTAACCTGGGCAGATGAGAAGGTCCAAAGTTTCCCTGCCAGGTCCAGGTACCAAAGCTTTATGATGCGGTGCCCAGAATGAAGTGGAGGGATCACTTCACTTCTCCTTCCTGCTCCAGGCTCCTTTTATTCTCCTTCATTTGACACAGTCTTCATTTTCTTCTGACACTGTCTTCTCTCCTCCTTGGCTCCTTCTGCTCCTTTACCTTTCTGCTACTTTCT